TATTTTTGTTGACGATATTATCATCATAATTTTTTCTCCTGATAAAAATTTTGGAAATCCATCTGTTGTTATGCTCTGGAGGGTGGGGTGCTAATTGCACCCCTTATCCCCCCCAGTAGGACCGCTTCTATGTCTAAGAGAAGCCTAAGGAGATCTTTCCAACCGTGATAATCAATAAAAACAAACAGAATAATGAACTTTTCATTCACAAGTACACGAGTGTCAAATAATATTAATATATCAACATCTCAACAGGCAATTTACTTGAAACCATGAGAGATGATATTATCACTACACCACTTCATTAGATTTCATTTGAAAAATGACGCCAAGACTGCCAAGAGAACGTGCAAATTTGTTTATTGCCGGTATCCATTTATAGAATGAATACTTAGGATAATTACTTTATTTATAAGTATAATGCAAGGGGCCTTCATTGTCTTGCGAAAAGATAAATAAGTTCGTGGTATAATGTTAACGTTAAGTGAGTAGGTACCTATAACTGTTAACAATGAAGCAGTTATATAAAGACGCTCGTATTCCAAACAAAATTATGGAAATGGGGCAGCTATTGAGAGCAGAGATGATGCTCCGAATTGATTTGCATAGGGTCAAAAGGAAATGTTAACATTGAGCGTTATAATAAACCTCACCGGGTGATATTTATTGACAATTGTTCACTGTTCAGTACAATGTACAATAAACATGGAATAATTTTTTTGATTGTCGCTTGCGGTCGTGTGGTGCATTGACAGACAAAGAAAGGCTATAGGAAGTTTGACTCCATTCAGATAACGTGACTTTATAACTCATTTGTTTTGTATTACTATTTTTTCATTAGTTACGACTATTCATCAATTATTATTCAAGAACAGAAAAAACATCAATCAACCGTCGAACATTAAGAAAATCCAGGACTTGCCTTGAACAAAAAACACTGATAGCAAGTGTTCATATCTATCACCTGTATATTTTTAATTCTGTAAACTTTGCCTGTACGAGGTTTTTGCAGTATTTACTTGAGATACATACACTCGTCGACATTTTTTTAAACGATTAATTCTGACTAGAATTGAAAGTTTAGCATCAACGCAGAATAAATATGATACTTTATTGAATATTTCAGCTCGGTTATTTCTATATGGCTGGTTTTGGTATTTTTTAAGCGTGCATGGATATCACCCTGTTAATTATTCTTCATATATGAATGATATCTAGAGACATGCAGAGATCTAAGAAGCAGTCCATCTACTCTTTAACATTACGTAAAGGAACCTAAACATTGAAATGTCAATTGTCATCATAATATATACGAGGTGTTTTTGAATGAGTAGATATACTATTCAGCACATCAATATGATACGCACTCTAACGAATATTTCCAAAATATCAGAGTTTTCCTAATTCTTCTATAGATAACTAAAATTTTCATCTTGAAATTTGAGGAAAATTCGAGAAAAAAAATCAAATGCCTAAGCGCACTTATTGAAAAGACAATTTGAACTTTTGGCGGAAAAAGAGGTTTTAGCTCCAAATTTCATTTTGATCCTATAATATTTTTTTATTGGTAGTGAACGTCGAGCTTTTAGAAGGTTCAAGATATTTGTTTCGATTTCATAGTACATTACCACCTAGGGAATAAAGATGGCATTTCAAAACCCTAGACAAAAAGTTTATACATACGGATATAATTTGTCGAGGGATTCAAAGCACTTCAGGATAGGCAGAAAGTTATAGAAAAAATTACGAAAAAAAAATTAAATGCTACTATAAACGGTAGTTACTCTATTTCTAAAAAATCATCGACGGAGCTGATTGTTACCATTTCAACGACCTCAGTAACTATGGTGATCCAGATCATGATTGTCATCGGCAACAGAAAATGACAAGTAATCAAGTAAAACATAAATGAATAATATTAGTCAAGTAACTTCAAATCCCTATGGATTTAAAGTACCACTTTTTCACCCGAAAACAGGGAATAAAGGTACCCTTTAAATCCCTGAAGTGCATGAGAGTATATATATAACTGAATATTATTCAGCAGAAAGTGATGATGAATAATTGTATGCAATGACTTTATATATGGTGATGGCTATACTAGATGAATATATTCCATTGATATTGTACTATACATGTACTACTCAATTACAATGAAGAAATTCTCGGTGAAATGAACAGTTGAAAAATGTATTTTTTTCTTCATATTATATGAGCACGAATGCGTGGAAAAATACTAAAATTCCTTCATGAATCATGTATTTTGTATATCTATAGGTGGAAATTATGCATTTCTTTGGAATTCAATTACTAGGCACAGGATAAAAACTGCATGATATCGTAGATTCATAATTTTTTTTTAATTATATTATATGTTATCCATCTAGATTTCTGAATTGTCCTATCATACATTTATTTACATCAGTATTTTCATACATCTATTTACAGAAACACTAGTTTTTCCATAACAGCTAATGTACTTATACCTAATTAACTTTTAGATAGTGAAAATGCAGGTATTCATATATACCGGGTGTCCCAGTATACCTGTTCCAATAGATTATCTCAGCCATTTCGAAAGATGAAAATTTGAAAATCACATGATCTACTACAATTCTGATGATTTGAAATTATTATTGAAGTCAAAATCAAGGATTAAAAAATATCGTAGCCTACTGCAATTCGTTTAATTTGAAATTTCAATTGTCGTTTTCTCCATCAAATCAAATTCAAAATATGAAGTGTGATACATCGTTGGAACGGTAATTTTGAGTAGAAACCAAAAATTGCAAAAAATATACAGGGTGCTATTTGAAATGAAAAAGTTTGAGTCACTTCCGGTCAAACCGGAAGTGACTTTCAATTTTTGTTTTTCTCAGTTGAAGCTTCCTTGAACGAATTGGAGATCATGAGATTTTCGAATTTTTATTTTTCGAAATGGCTGAGATAATTCATTGGAACAGGTATACTGGGACACCCGGTATATCTCCGTCAGCCAATAAAATAAGTTAACATTCACTAATTAAATCAGGTACATTCGAACTATTGATGCATCAATTTATACAGCAGTGACCTATATACATATACATTCTCCTATAAATAGTTATCTATATAGTGTGTCTCAAAAAATATAGGTGTGAAATTGGAATTGATTCATTCAAACTATTCTTAGACCCTATACTTTGCGCAGACATCCAGTGTGTAATGAAATATTTTACATTCGAGCGATATATAATGGTATATCCTAGGCCCTAGGGTATATCCCTATTTTGTATAGCAAAATGATATATGAAGTATATATAGATATCCTCTACTATCAGACCAATTTTGCCCCTTTCATCGTGAAACACCCTGTATACCCACCTTGTTAAAAATCTGTTCAAACAATCTGAAAGTGTATGGTTGACGTTCAGTGCATAATCAAACCATTTGAATGAAATACGCAACAGGAAGCTTCAAATGTTAATTATATGCAAAAGGTACATAAATATTCATATTATAAAATCAAGAGGATGTGGCGTAGTATACTTGAATGCAAAATCGTTAATGTCAGGCTGTGCATGAGATGTCCAAAAGATTAACTAGGAACCATATTTAACATTTTTAACACGAAAAGAAATTCGTTTCATATATCAGACTTAATTCTAAAAATGTTCTAGACTCAACAGCCTTGAAGTGCAACTGATTTGGGCAATCCATGATGATACATACTGTCAATTACAACTCACATAATTGCAAGACAACGTTAAGATACTTGACGAGGTTAGTTCACTGTTGACATAGTAAATGCCCCACCAATGCGCAGAATCAACTTAACATGACACTTAATAGTTTCAATTATCAGTAATTACCATGTATTGCTATGGTGAATAATAGTATATTATTCGACGAGCGTGTAATGATGGCCATTACTCATGAGAATGAAGTTTGCGACGTGAGCCGCAGGCGAACGTCGTAATCATTCGAATGAGTAATAGCCATTACACGCAAGTAGAATACTATACTTTTTCTATGACTGAGTGATGAACTGGTTGAGTTCATCAGCAGTGAATATCTTCGCTTTCTTTGACATATATCGATCAGATTTCCTCTTTAGAAATGCTCGTAATTTCAAATATTTGTCAATATTCACATAATTTTCCATTGAAATTGTGCTTCTTAGTATATGCATGGAATACTGTGACCACAAGGAGGATGCTTTGTGTTTAGCTGCTAATTCGCCAAAATAGGCTAGCAGTACATTATCCGAATACGAATTTGCAAGTTTTGCTTTTCGCCAAACCACTTCATACCTTTTTTTAGATTCCTCGGGCAAAAGGCTGATTGTACTTGAATTGGCAGCTTTCGAAACTTCTGATGGTGGAGAGCAGTTGAATTCATTTTCGCTTTCTGAATCCATATTTGTACAAAGAGTCAGTTCTAAATCACGCCAGATAGCTATTGTCAAATTATGACATTTCATGACGAGTTTCACGTTTCACTGCATGCCCCATATTATCATTACAACTGGTGTCAACTGTTTTGTAGGTAATGAATCTGCTTTGTTGCTGATTGGCCATAGCCTGTTGTGTAAAGGCTCTTACACACGGGGCGTGGCTTGTTTTGTGTAATGCATCCAGTTACCCAACAAAAATGTTACATTAAAAGGGTCTAGTTTTCAACAGTCATAGAAAAAAAAATATAATCCATATTATGATCGTGGCCAGTGCAGTATTTTTCCATGGAAGCACTTCATTTCATCTTCTGTTCAATTTATTTTTTCACTTTCATCCCATCATTATGCTACTCCTGTTTATACTCAACTTTTTTCAAATAATTGTTATCCTACTCAACAATATCTACCTTCTATTTCAATAGGAAACCATCAATATGTTGGACAAGAAACTTCACATAATACTATAAGGTCATCCCGTCATATATAAGATCAGTCTGTGACAATGCCATAGCTATTGTCTGGAATAATACATGCAAATCTCCAATATGAAGATTTGATAGTAGTTTCAAAAGTATCTATCAAGGGCCAAAAGGTTTATGACACCTTCTTTTTTAACTTTTCTCAAGGGTGGGTCGAATTTATTTGCTAGTGGAGTATCTGTTAAGTCTATCACTCTTGGATAAGAATCGTTCATAAACATATCTTCACCCAATCTATACACACCAGTGTTAGCTAGAGACAAATAGTGCAGATGCATTGAAGCAAAGCTACTCTGCTCTATAGAAAATATTATATTATTGTCCATCATCAATATCCTCAGATTTGGCAACTTGACGAAAGTTGCCTCGAAAATTTGCTCAATCCTATTGTCAGTTAGTATAAGGGTTTCCAAGGAAGCGGAAGTCAGGAAGGGTTTGACGCGATGAAAACTGATTCTGTTATTGGATAAATCCAGCTTTTGCAACTTCAGGTTCCACTTGAAAGTTCCAGTATCCAACGTGCTTATATTGTTGCCTGATAGGTCCAATGTCTTCAGTTGTTTCAATTCCTTGAACGCTTTCTGGCTCACATTTGCTATTTTGTTTTGATAGAGTTCTATCTTGTGTACGGATCTGTAACCGTTGAGGAAGAAAATGAAATCTGGTAGGTCAGCAATGTAGTTGTATCCGTAATTGACAGACATCACGTGCTCAGCACCTCGGGGAATTTCATTTAGGCCTTTACCCATTGCTACTATGTGGAATGGAAGTTTTGTTGTGGTTTCCAGACGGTCTATGGTACTTTCTGTAGATGAGGATGATCTGAAAACAATATTTTCTTGTATAATATGGATTCATTATATTAGGTGTCTATCATTCAAATGATTGAGGGATTCGAGTGCTTCACGTGTCGTTCTCGTTTTTAATATTCAGAATTTGTGATTGGTTTATTAAGCCATATGTAACAAATAGCACGAGGAATATTAAGAAATTTCAGAATGAAGTATTTCATGCGATGTAGATACCTACTACTGGGTATAGATTCCCAATTGTATTTCCTACTTAGGTTACCATCGAGAAGCACCAAGTGAAGATCAGGTTGAATCGTGGCACAATTTGGATATTCGCGAAGGGGACATTTTCATTTGAATTTTGTTTCAACTCGTTAACAATAACGGTGCAAAATTATCGTTCTGTCGAGGATTTCACAAGAGGTGGCACAGATATTGTTTTGAGATCTAGCAGAGATTATACACTCTGGATCTACCATTCAATTGATGGTATCAGATGGCATGATTCTCATCTCGTTATCAAATCGTGATTGTGATTGGCACAGGTACCATTCGATAAAATACAAGGTGTTTCATATACCTTTGGGACATATGTTATTTCGTTATTAGATGCTTGTCGAAATTTGCAACTGGCTCTCGTGCTATGATTACTATGAGCATTTATATTACAATTTCCATATTCTAAATACATAACTTTGTTGGACTCTGTCAATACATATGATTAATCATACTATTAGAAAGATAGATCAGTAGACCAGACGGTATCACATGATCCCTATTAGTACAGTTTTTTTTTCATTTCTTGGAGCGCAGCAAAGGAAATTCCGATTAAATTCTTATTATTTTTCTATGAGAAGCCTTTGAAAACGATGAATCGATAGTCAATGCCACCTTGTTTAAAAAATGTTTGTATACAAGAAGAATATTCATATGTGTATTGGAAAAATATAAAATTCCACTACCTACTGTTTTATATAAACATTCCAAAATAGTTTAAAAGTTGTATTGCGTGCAAAATATTTTATTAAAATTGTTCATAGAGGACCGCTTTTGACTATACAGACATCATCAATGCGTACCTGTAAGTAAGTGATCAGCTTTAAGCTATTGAAAAAGACATCAGAGAGAATTTAAACTTATTTCATGGAAAAAGTTGAAATCAAATTTAAAAATTAGTGAAAGTTAATCAACTTTCAGCTATTGAAAAAATACATCATGATAAAATTGGAAATTGAAAAAAGTTCGATACGAATTTAGAAATTAGTAGAATTGAGGTTATTTACTCGTCAGGTTGACAAGAACATCATCCATAATAATATATTTGGTCCAGTTGAGTAAGATTAACATTATGACTAATTACGGTAAAAACAGTTTGTTTCCAAAATGGGATAATATGCAGATTACATTTCATTGAACATCAGACGCTATGGTTGCGGCATACTGGTGTTCAAGTGAACTTAATATAAGTGACATAAAGTACTAGCTAGAATAATGAAGGCAAATTTGGAGTTGACAGCATTTGAGATGACTTACAAGACATGACGTAATTATTTATGCAAGAGAAATTCATGTCATCAATCATACTTATTTTCAAAGTTTACTATAGGTTGTATATTTACATTTTTTTATATTTGTTCATCAAGATTTATTAGAAAAAAACAATCGATCTCGATTTTTTTTTCATGTTCTGGTTCTCACGAAAATGGATATCCTGTAGTGTTCAGAGAACATCGTGAGAACCAAGAGAAATAAGGTAGGAATTGGTGTTCTTCTGGAGGTTATATGCCTCGGGGAACATCTCCCTTGGTAATGTGTTCCAGAGAGCCTCGCTGCTCGTTGGATGAATGAGTCTTTGGAAAGAGATGTTCTGCAGGTCTCCAAAGTGACCACGAAGGGGTGCGAAGCCTCAACTCGACGGGTTAATCTCGCGGGGACTGCCAAGAGTGCCAAGGGAGGAACAATTGTTGATATTTCAGAAGAGCATCGTCCATGAAAATATCCATAAAATAGAACCAGATCGCTAACTTTTCTACGGTGTTCCAGAGAAGTGAGTAAGTTTGTGAGCGAGGCATCATCCACGAGACGAATTGTCCTTTTTTGGACAGAATCCAACAGTTTCAGGTTATGTTTGGGTGCTGCACTCCAAATATAGGAATAGTATTCGGATCTGTGCCTTATAGATCATAAGCAGCTTATTGTGTCTAATAATATAGTAGAGAATGAGTCACGAAGTAAAAGATTTATTAGCAGTTCAAAAGAAGATCTTTTTAATGTCTAATTAGCAGTATTATGAACATAAAGGAGCTAAAAGGATTTAATTAACTCTTAGTAGTTGTGTTGAATCTTCCTCACGATTTCTCAACAGGATGTTTAAGTGTCTAGATTCGAATATAAGATTGCACCGTCGCATTTATCTTCTACTTATTGAGGAAATTGGTTATAAGCTTACTTAAGTATGATGAATATTGTGTAATAAACAGAAAATCCTTCAAAGGCACAAAACTTTGTTTCGAATTGAAGTAATACGTTCATTTTATGTACGTACATATAAGGGATAACATGAGTAAAAACTGCATGAATGTTTTTTTCGAGTTTTTTTATTTGAAGAGTGATCTACCCAGATGATTTCCTATGATTTATATGAACTTACAAAATATTTCAAAATTCAGTATCAAGATTTCAGGTTTTTATTTTCAGGTAACAAAATATCACGTTTTTTTATTTTCCAGCACCTTTTATGAAAAGCCAAGGTTCGTTAGGTTTCTTATTCTCAAGGTTATGTTTGAAAACTTGTAATTAAAAGCACAAATTGAATATGTAACGTTTTTTGTTTTTGTTGAGATCAGAGGTTCCTCCCTTTTGTTGTAATTTTCACTCAAGTCCAGGAACTATAAAAATTATTTTCTCTTCTCGAAAACGGTCCCAGATGCGTAAAAATAACAGAAGCCAAGAAAGTTAGAAAACCAAACAAAGAACTCATTTCGTATTTCAAAAATCTACTAGTGGCTCACCACAATAGATATTTATGTACCAAGGGCGAAAAGCTGTCACACGTGAAATCTATCGGATTTCATGAATGATTAATTCGACAACAGCAAATTACAGTTGTTGTTAACTCACTTTCTGCGCGGACCAGTGTTGCCAGTTCGATTTTTATTCCATTAGTAAATACCTTGTCAAAAATCAAGATATATTTTAGGCTATAAGGAATCCCAAGAAAGGATAATGAAATAAACTAATGACAGAAAAGTAACCAATTTCCAACAAAATAGAAACAAACAAAGCGAACATTTCTCATAAAATAATAATCATATTCCTAGTTCTCAATTTGAAAATAATCACAATTATCACAAAATACAGTTGCCTATATCGGTACTTATAAGATTTGAGTATATATAAAAAACAGGAACGAATAGTAAAAATGAACAACAACAGAGGTATAAGACAAATTGAATTTGATCCGAATTTTTGGTTTATACATATTATTAGTATCTCTATATATAAATTTATTACTCATTGTGTTGAATTAATTTAAACAGAGAGCGTGCCGAAATATCATGCAATTCATAAGTGTATGTGATTAACAAAAGATTAATAATAATATAGGTAATTATAATAATAAATAACTGTCAAAATATTCTTCAGTAGGTTATAAAATGTTTCAGTAGATCAATATGCAAATCGGCAAAATGTATGATGTGAACCTCGAAACGTAACCTTTGTTTCAAATTTGATCTGAATAACATTGAAAACAAAAAGAGCTATGGAGGAAAAAAAGAAAAAAATCTGTCTGTAGATCGGTAACGAAACGTTTGCGAACACAACATGCTCATAGGAAAATAAATCGTACCTACTTTGATCTGAAAAGTAAGCCCCTGAAATCTTGATACTGAGGTTTGAAACACCCTGTATATATTCAAGGAATAAATCATTGTACTCCATCTTCTTTTTAAGTTTCATAATTTTCATCGATTCCACAACTTTCTTCTTCTATGAGTTTTTAGTCATAAAAATTATAATTTTGATATTTTGAGATTATGTTAGTCGCACTGACTACACTAAATTTTGGCATTATAACATCTAAAACAGGGTGATAATGGAAACCCCTGTATCTTGAAAACTAAACAAAGAAATATACAAGTTTATACAAACTCTTTTTTTTATTTTTGCCAGTAATCGCCTATTGAATCTCCCCACCGCACTGGTTTGCCTATTGACATTATTCAGATTGTTTTTTTTATGAACTTCCAGATCTCACGAAGCAGAGGAATCCCTATTATGTTCGTGGAAGAACATAATGCGTCTGGAATGGCGAAGAAGGTAAGCATTTTAAATATTTTGAACTTTTGGGAGTATACCTAAAACAGGTTTTCAGATTTGAATGAGAATACCGTGTTCGCATTTCTCGTAGTTCTGTTTATAGGTATCAACAACTTGCATCAATACCTATACATCAAACTTTCTCTAGGTTTTTTCACGTATGGAAAACAACAGAACCATTCCAGCAAGTTGAATAACCAAATCATTTTCGAAATCATTACTGAGCTTTGAATTATGACATGGATAAGTATGATATTCATTAAAAATTCCGTATATTTCATTATGCATAGTCCATTCAAGGATATCACGAATTATGAATGGCCAATGACAAAAAAATACAATGAAATTAACATTGAAACAATATGAATCTTCCAAATGATGGTTGGTATTTGAATAGCGAAATAATAGGAGCCATACCTATTTCTTGGCAATTTAACCCTACCGAGTTTCGAATCTGTTTTAATCATTGCTAATATCACTATATTAACTTGTTACCGTTTTACAAATTCATTCACAGAGCTGCCTCAAGTCTTTTTCAATATTACATTATAATATCATTATCAAATATTCAAAATTTCAAAGTTTTTCAACACATAGGATTACAAAACTTCCTCATTCAGTGGAAGTGGTTATTTCTT